TAGTTAGTTTAAAGGCTTTAAAGAAGAGTAAAGTGAGGAAGTTAACAAAGTTTTGGAAAATTTTCGAGTTAAATGAGTAAGTTCTGGGCAAGGGGTATCGTACTTGTAATATCCCAAAATAGGGTTGGTGATTAAAATATACATTTTGAAAACTTTGTGCTCAATTTTGAAATAAGTTAAAAGTTTAAGGACTTAATTAGAGAATTTTGATGTTGGATTGATTAACAAAGTTAGAAAGATGAGAGGGTATAATGGTCATTCTATAAGGAAGATTTTTATTTTCCATTATAAAGGATATAAACACGTGGAGTTAAGAGGAAAAGAAAGAAAATTCCGGAGGCTTGGTTAATTTCTTCCTCCCGTGGCTTCAGTGGTAAGGTGAGTTGGATTCAACTTGATGGTTTCTTTAATTTTAAGGTTTATTTTGATTCTTAGAGTGATAAGAAAGCTTAAGAGAAGTTTTAAATGGTTTAAAACGCAAAGATGAACAAGTTATTAGAGATTAAGTAAAAGGAGTTTTTAAGTGAATTATTGAAAAAGGAGTAGATGGATTTGGAAGTTGAATTTGACTTGTCATAAGTTGAAATAAGAAATTCAAAGTGTTAGAAATGAATTTGGAACATGTTGATTTATTGGCTTGATTATTGAATTCAAGTATGTATGTGGGATATTGGATATTATGATGAGTTAAAGTGATCTAATTTTATTAGAATAAGTGTAGTTAAGCTTAAAGGACTAAAAGGAGGTTCTAGTATAAGATATAAGTAAGTTTGGTAAATTTTTGGGGTATGATAAATGAATTCTAGGCAAGTGGTATCAGTACTGTTCATCCAGTACCTGATACTTGAAAGAGGAAATGAGTGTTAATTAAATCATGGGTATTGATACTGGTTGAATGAGTATCGATACCATAAGGCACAAATTTATAAATTTTACAAAGAGTATCGATACCAAGGAGCAGTATTGGTATTGGGAGTATCGATACCATCTAGCAAGAATCGATACCATTTTGAAATAAGGATGGCATAATCGAAATTGGGTATCGATACCGTGGAAGGGTATCGATACTACAAGCTTAGAGATATCGGTACTGTGCTTGTAGTACCGATACTACTTGAGCTGGAAATTAGAGATTAGTGCTTTAATTAGCTTACAATAAGAAGAATATTTGCAAGTAATTCGAATTTCGATATTTATTGGATTGTGTATTCGTGTAGATAACGATCGAGAGCAAATTCTAAATAAGTCGACCAAGTAATAGTCATCGAGAAAGAGATAAGAGGTCGGCATTGACCAGTGAGGCCAGGTGAGAGTATATCGGTTAATATATGATATTTGATGGAAATAAGACTTGTGATAAGTCTATTTTCCATATTAGGGCTTATGAATATGAGTGTATGTGTCACATGTTATTACATGAGTTACATGATATACTATGTATGTTAAATGAGTTATGTGAATGCATGTTGGTATGATAACTTATGTTAAATGATATAATTGAATTATGTGATTTGTAAGAAAGGATATGAACTATATGAGAACATGTATATGTGAATGAGCTATGTGATAAGAAGTTATGTGATTAAATGATCAAGAGATATAAGCCATGTGATATATGTGACATGTGAATTATATGGAAATGATCTATGTGTAAGTGAACTATATGACTATGTGAATATGTGATAAATATAAAAGATAATGCCCATGTTATGTGCTATGAGAGCTAAGGGTATAGTTGGCATGCCAAGAGTCGAAGGTTCTACGTGGTCATTCGGGACATTTATGTAATCCTTTGGAACATATATGTGGTACTTAGGTACATCTATTTGGTGCATTGGAATATGTATGTGGTCCTCAAGGAGTGGTCCTTCGGGACATCTATGTGGTCCTTCGGGACATCTATGTGGTCCTTCGGGACATTTCTACGTGGTCCTTTGGGACAAATTCTATGTGCCCCTAGTGGGAATTATACGAGCTGTGGTGATAGCATAAGTGCACAACCTCTATGTACTCGTATATCTTTAGTTCTCATATGTGTACATGGGCTAATAAAGAGATAACAATAAAAATATTACATGTGAGTATATGCTTTTGTGATATGGAACGTGTTACATAAATTATATGATGATGTGTTCATTGTTTGGTTAATAATGTTAGGTACAATAGCTTATAATTAAGAGATATGAATGATAATAATGCTAATAATGATAAGAATAACAATAAGGATAATGAAATGATATGTATGTATTTATGTTTTGATGCATAATATGTTCTATAGTTTAGTATAATTACATGAAGTGTGCATAGTAGGAATTAGTAATGAGATGTTATAGTTAAGTTTATTTATGCCTCACTAAGTCATCGACTTAGCGTGTGAGTTTTTTACACGTAGGTTCCGGGAAGCAAGAAGATGAGCAAGACAAGTCAGACTCTCCTTTTCGAAGTTTAGATCAGAAAAGAGTTTTGAATCATGTGTATTTTGTGATATTAAATATAGTTGGCATGTACTAAGAGATTTGAGTTGAATATGCTCTGATGTGTTTTGTACAACCAATTGATTTTGGATTAATGTAAAATATTCATTTTCTTGAATTGTGAATTTAAATTTTTGTCAATCTATAAAGAAAAACGTTTTTAAAAGTCAACGTGACACTTCAAACTCGGATCCGGGTCGGGTACGGGTTGTGCTTGTTACATAATGCAATTTTAGTATTTCCATTTCCATTTCGAGTTCATTATTCATTTTATTTTTTATATTGGTTCCTGTAGACTTGCATTTATGTTTGTTTATATTCAAGTTTTGGTTGTTGCTTTTGGTATAATATCTCTTTTGGTCCTTTGCATTTACCTGTACATAAAATCGGATAATTATTGCATTGGGTTCCAGGTTTAGCTTTATATTCATTTTAGTCTTCACTTTATTTGTTGTGTTTTGGTTAAACCTCTATCAGGTGGATGAAGTTTCATTTCTTTAAATTTTGGTCATGTAGTTTATTTTGGAATTATTACTACTTAAATACTCTCGTTATATAATGTTTGTACATTGGACATGATTCTTGATAAGTTCACTGATTATATTTAAAATTGTTGCTTTTATTATTTTAACCTTTTAAAGCATGATTAGTTTTATTTTAATCCATCATATTTATACATTTATATTTTAGCCCAAATTTGTATCCCTATGTTCTATTATCAGTTTGTATTATAATGCATGATTTCATATAGGAATATATATAAGTATGTAGATCAAATAGATGTTACTAGTCATTAGTATTAAAAATAGTTTTATTTTATTTTATTATTTGTATACGTGTAGTTATATATATAGGTATATATATTTTCAATTTATTCATTTTTTATTACTATTTTATACTACTCCATTTATCGATGTATTACTCGAATATTTTCAAGAACTGTATTTGTAGAATGGGAGTGAAAAGTAATGCTTGATCGAAGTAATCCGATACGAACGTTCAAACGGAATATGAACTTGAAAACACGAGTTTTTTTAAATAATGTTTTTTTATATAATGTTCTACTTTATTTTAATTTTAATTTTTATTTTGTTATATTTAATGTTGGTATTAATGATGTATGCTTTAGAAAAATGAGTCATATTTTGGTTTTATGCAAAATTTCGATATTAATTAATTTATTTTTAGGTAGAATATTCTTTAACAGATAAGAAATATGTGAGATAACTTTCCGATAGAGGATTGCAAATCTCGAGATTTCTTGTCAAGTTAAAAAAATTTCTATAATTAATCAATTTGGAGTAAATTAATTAATATTCAATAAATAGATCATATTTGTTTTACTTTTTATTCAAGTTCCACCATTACAACATTGTATAAACGGATAAGTACTAATTTTGGGCATTGCGGGGTGCTTATTCTTCCTCATGCGTAATCGATTTCCGGACCCGTTAAGTCGAATTTTTGGTAAACGCGGACCAATTTTTGTCTTAAAAATGATTTTTCCTTAAAATGATTTTAAACGATGTTTTTAGATATTCAACCTACCTAGTACAAAGGTCGATGACAACTCCTATTCAAATTAATTCAAATCATTAATTTTTCAAATAAAGTCATAATTATTTTTTTAAACTTAAATATTTTTCAAAAAAATGATTATGACAATCAAAATTTGAACTCGACTCAACTCAACTCAACTCATTTACAACCTTAATTGTTCCAACCTTTTCCCGTGTTTCCCACATTTTAGATCGAGCCTTCTTTCATTTTGCCATAATTCTCAATTTCTGCAAGTGATTAACTCTCTCGATTTTCCCCTTTTCTCTCCAATGACCATGACATTTTTGTTTATGTAGATAACAAGAAGAAAAAAAACTTCTTTCTCCTTTGCAAGTTCTTGGTTCTATCATTTCCAACTTTTTCTTTTATAATTTATAATTGGTTTTAAAAACAAAATTGGGTAGTAATTATGTCAAATTTAAACAAAACCAAAATATCATATTTTTTTATTAAATCAGTCCTCGTTCATTCAGTTTTAAATTATTCAAAATAAATTCATTTTAACGATGTTGTTTGATTATCGTATCGATCATTTTTTTGATCTAACTAGTTGAATGTCTAGTTTAATATGTTTTTGATATCAATCTTCATCCCTAAATGTAAGTATTTTTACTCTGGATAGTTAATGATATCAATTCTTTAGATTAACTAATGGTACTATAAAAATATAAATTAATCATGTCAAAATAATATATAGGGACTAAAGTTCATATTTCAAAATAATAGAGGTACCAAAAATTAAAATTTGATCTCAAGTAAACTGAAAATATCCTTTTCCGTTCTTTATTAGGAGAAATTTATGCTTGGTGAAAAGACCAGAAAGGACCGAGGTTCCTGTCTAATAAACTTAAAAGTATATGTAATTTAATTAAAAGGCCAACACCAATTACGTCCAATCCGAACTTGGAAATTCCAACATAAACAAACAGTGAAAATAAAACTGAAAAACCCTATCCTTTGTTTTCCTTATCATCCAAACAGACCATTCAGAAAATGCAGGAAAATGGCAGTAGAGCTGAAGCCCTGCGCCTTCTGGGGATGGCCGAGAAGCTTCTCCAAAACCGTGATTTCAACGGCTCAAGGGAATTCGCTATCTTAGCCCAAGAAACCGAACCCTTTTTGGAAGGGTCGGATCAGATCCTAGCTGTCGCCGACGTCCTCCTTGCCGCCGAGAAAAAAATAAACAACCACCACGATTGGTACTCGATCTTGCAAGTCGATCGCCGATCCGAAGACATCGATTTCATCAAGAAGCAGTATCGTCGCCTTGCTCTCCTTCTCCACCCCGACAAAAACAAGTTCCCTTTCGCCGATCACGCCTTTAAGATCGTAGCCGATGCATGGGCCGTTTTATCGAACGCCTCGAAAAAAGCTCAGTACGACAAAAAATTTGGGCTTTTCACGAGGATTGACTTTAGCAGCTCCGGCGATCCTTCAAATCAGTCCGGGAAATTACCGGTCACGAGAAGAGGACAAAATCAGAATACTGTGCCGCGGCGGTCGACGGGTTCTACGGTCCATAATGAAAATCAAAGGCCGAAATCGTCAACATTTTGGACAGCTTGTCCGTACTGTTACAGGTTGTTTGAGTATCCAGGGTTTTATGAAGGTTGCTGTTTAAGGTGTCAGAATTGCGAGAGATCTTTTGATGCTGTTTCAATTCCGACACTCCCGCCGTTGGTGCCGGGAAAAGAAGCGTATTATTGTTGCTGGGGTTTTTTTCCGTTGGGGTTTTTGTCTGGGAATCAAGACGATGGAGGAAAAGGAAAACCAGCTACTGGATCTCCGAGTTGGATGCCTTCTATGGTTCCAGGAGGCCAGCCAGAGAGTGAAAGAAATGGAGGGAATATGCCAGCTCAGGCTCCATCGCCGCCGCCGCCGCCACCACCACAACCACCAGCAGCTGCTCCTAAGACGACCGTGAAGAAGGTGGTGCAAAGTGGTAAAAATGCTCCCAATTCCACCCCAAGGAAGAGAGGGAGGCCAAGGAAGAATCCCATTTGAGGTTTGGGTTGGCTATAATATATAGTTGGTGTTGCTTCGATTTAAAAGAACCTGACCGGATGACAGGAGTGTTTCCGAGACAAAGACAGATGATGTTGCTGAACGGAGAAAGAAGGATAAGGCTGAGGGTGAAACTCTGCTATGCTGTAAGGAAATTGTAGGTATTGCTGTACTTTTTATTGTTTTGTTTGTAGACTGTAGATTGCTTTCATGTGCTGGCTAGCACATAGATAATTATGTAACATTTTGATATATGCAGCTATAACAATTCAGCGAGTTGTTTAGGTACGGATATTGTGTAGTCTCTGTTGTTGTGGTTCGTTCGAATGCATGCATAATGTCGTCATCTTCCAATGTCTTGTAGGAAAACATGGTTGGATGCAGTTAACAGATATTGACACAAACGTTTTCATGCATTAGCGTAATTATGGATTTACGTTGTTTATTTGGTGTGGCTAGTACATCTTTGAATGGCCCAACTGCAAATGAATACTAATGATGATATCAGGGGTTGAATACAGGAGAGGAATCCTAGTGTTTTAGTACAAGTGTTGTTTAGTTGACTGAGATTGAGGCACAGATGGAAAATTAAGACTGCAGATTCCACAGGCAGTTTAGCAGTGGGTTAATATTATTTGGTTTTGTTACTAAACCCTTGAGTTTTGTTCATCGGATTATCCATTCACATTGCACTGCTCTTTAGGTTTTGACCTTGTTATTTGCTGAAGCAGTTCTTAGTGCCTTGACACGGCAACGAGAGATTGATCCCAGTTCATCTAGTCTTTTTTTTTTCGTGGATTTGATCATATATGTTTGCCTCACTTGGTGATCATATACTTGTAAATTAACCCAAAGCCCTGAACTATACAGCATCATATGCTTTGTTAGGGTGGAGCCGAGCAAGAAATCTAAGTAACAAGACCAAAACTAGTTGAGAAACCAAAATGTTGGGAAAGATGAAGACTTCACTGCATTTTGATATAGCTCTAAAACCTTCTGTTTACGTTGTTACTACAGTGAAAATATGTCTTATAATCAATTATTAAAGAAAGAGAGTTTTCCTTTTTTATTTTAACAATTTCATGTTGCAGGCTGCTTCTTATTGATTGATGTTTGGAGCAGAACTAGAAATCTTAAATTATGGTGTTATAATTTTAAATTACTGTATTGATATGTTGTGGGAAAATTGAGTTTTAAATTTTTTATTATTAAATATTTTATTAAATATTTCGAAAGTCACACTAGTCACTAGAGTGATAAAAAATATATTAAATAATTAAAGAAGTACTATATAGGCATAAAACTAGTTTAATATCTCAAGCCACAGTTAAAAAAATAAGAAATTAGATTTATTATTATATTTGTAAAATTGAGATTCAATCCTCATGGTATTAAACCTAATGTCAAAGGAAAAAGATTGAGATAGAAAACTAGCGTGGTCTAAGTGTGCAATAAAAAAAGCAAAAAAAGAAAAAAGTTAAGGTCAAACATAGATAATTTTTCATGACAGGCATACGTATATGAATCAATAACAAATATTTTTTTTTTGTTGCCCTCCCAATTTCAAGATTTTATATTGACTAATTCGAATTGACCTGCGTCGCACATCTAGTTTGGTGAGTGAGTCTCCCAACTGAGATTTGTTACATACACAAAAACTCAAATTTGAGACATTACTTAAACGATATTAAGCTGATTATCACTTAAACCAACCCTGTTAGTAGTGACGTAAATATTCACAAACATACGATCAGAATAATAAAATATGTATCATCAAACAGATAAATAATTCATAGAACACACAACACGAAACTAGCAGAAAAAAGATCATGCAACATAACATGTATCAAAATATAGAAGAAATGATTGACTTAAAAATGCAGGAATGGTAATAAGATCCTAACTAAATTCATCCGCTAAACTATCATGATACAATACCCCTGAACTCATATCACTAGGAAGCCAAGCAAAATATAGAAGGCTTCCCTATTGTGGGTGTTTGTGACATATAATACTGATTCAAGATTATCCAACTTGAACATCGAATGTCATTTAAGTCGTCGAAGTAACTCATATACATATCACCCTTTATGAATATTTAGATAAATGAAAATTCTATTTAAATAAATATTCTTGACATTCAACTCAGTCATCATTCAATAAGTCAACTTAATTCATACTTGAAGTCTATTAAAAACAAACGATTGAAAACGCGGAGATGTTTTCATTTCACAAGCCAACTTTTGTCGCCTCTACTGCCATTACGTCATCGGCTTCATATTTAACTCTTCGCTGTTAATTGTTAAAAAGGCTGGACTAGCTTCTCTCTTATCTTACTATATTTTTTTTAATTTAATCACTGAACTTTATATATTAATTTTTTTTATCACTCTACGATAATGTGGATTATTTTATTTTCATGTGACGTGACAGATTTTAGTAGTATTTTAATGCTAGATATGATTATAATAAAAAAATAAATTTAAAAATATTAAATTATACTCTTAAAATTTAAACACAAACCATAACCCTCAAAGAGTTTGTGAACATTTCTTCCTTCCAACCATTCACCACACCCTTTCTCTTCTGAGAAACGTCGTCTTCCTTGACAGAATTGGTGGGAACAAGGGTGCTGCAATTTGGGTTTATCTTAGGGACACCATGGATAACAACCGCTGGCTCTCCCCGAATTTCGTATACAACAGGCTCTGATTCTGCCGCCAAGCTGTTGAGGGTAAGTGTGGTGGGGTTGTAATTTGGGATTTAGGGTTCGGTATATGATTTAGAAAATGATTGGGGAATTAGGGTTTATGTTTAAAATTTAAGGTATAATTTAATTTTTCAAATTTTACTTTTTTTAATGTAATTTGATGTAACACTAAAATATTAATAAATTTGATGTAACACTAAAATATTAATATATTTGATGTAGCACTAAAATGTTAATAAAAATTGCCATATCACATAATAATAATAATAAAATAATCCACATCATCGTAGAACGATAAAAAAATTGCAATGTATAAATTTCAACGAGTAAATTGAAAAAACTAAAAGTACAGTGAATAAAATAAAAAAATGAAAATAGTTCAATTACTAAATTTATAATTTACTCTTATTAAAATCAGATAACCAGTCTACTCAATGAAACACGGTTGTGTTAAAATAATTTAAAAACATAAAAATTTTAAAATAAAAAAACCAAAAACCCGTAATCTATTTCGCAAATTATATATTTTTTAAATTATAATTATGTTTAATTGTAAAAGTTCACAATCATAAAAATACTTGTTGTGCTGCTTTGACATGTTTTCGGCTTAGTGATCCAGTAGTGTGTAAAAGTTAGTGACATTCATAAATAATTTTTAAAATGAACATATATATATATATTAATAACAGAATTTTTTGTATACAATATATATAAATAAAATTTTATAATGAATATTATCAGTAAAATAGATATTTAATATAAAAATTCAGAGTTCAAGATAGACACGTGTCCACTATAGAAGAATCCACTTGCGTATGCCACTGATGAAAGTGTTTACGAGACCATTATTTATGGTAACATGTCTAATGATGCCAATGGTTTCGAAAGATGCAAAACCAGATGAAATAGTAAAGTTTGATGGCTTCAGTTTAGTAATCCTTTAAGCTTTGGTAATGAATTTTCTTATTTGCATTTAGTAATAAAATTCTACTTAAAAAATGTTATTTCTTTGGGGTGGAAATGCATCACCACTTTAACAATAACTACACTTGAACCTACTAAAAACACTATTAAAAGCAAACCTAAAAGCACGATTAGTCCTCAATTGTCTCTCTCTTATGATGTTCAAGATCGATAGGGGATGCAAAAAATTGTTACACCTGAAAATTTGATTGAAAACAATTTGAGTCTAAAATACTTATGATTCAAGGTGGTGATGACCTGAAATCAATTCAAGTTCAAATTGGTGTTGATTTGGACCTAAATTGAACCTGATTATTTTATATATGAACTAGACTTAAGAACAACCTGAATTCGAATTGAACATGATAATGTAATAATCAAACCCGACCTGCATCCGACCTGATATGAGTTCGAACTCGAGATTAACCTAGTAAATAACTAATATAACCCAATTTGAAATGATCCAAGATTTGATTTCACCCGACATGCAATTAATTCAACCTGTTAATTGATCGGACCTATAAATGATCCGACTTGTTAATGAACCAATCTGATATTGATTTAACTTGGTATTTACCTGACATGTAAGTTGTAAACTTGTAATTTGTACTCGCTATGTCCCATAATTTGTGTCTTATATTGACTATGCACATAGTTTTAAGAGATATATTTGACTAAATGGAAATGAAAATAAGGATAAAAAGGAAAATATAAGTGTTGTGGTTTATTGACTTTTCTGATATAACATTTTGAATGAGATAATTTTAAAAATCAGACACATTTAGTGGGACAGAGGGAGTAATTGACAAATGATATTATAATATGATAATTGACAAAATAATTCTTCAATATTTAAGACAAGACAACACATAATTAATTATGATCATTAAATTAATAAGTTTATTTTTTTATAATATAATATATAATTATATTAAAAAATTAATTTAATTAATAATTTATGGTCGATAAATATATTAAAAGTAATTCTTTATCATTTAAGATATATAATTAATTATGATCATTAGAATAATAAGTTTAATTATGAACATTAGGTTAAAAATTTTACTTTCGATATGTGTACATTGTAATAAATAAATCATTTCTATTTTTATATCACTAATAATAATAACTTTAAATTATTAAATCTTTTATTTTAAATTTTTTTATTAAATGATTCATTTATTGATTATTATTTTTATTAGATTAAATAAACTAATTTTAAAATATAAATTAGTGTAAAGCATTATTAATAATATAGGGAGAGAAGAAAGAAGAGAAAACGTTTCTATTTTAAATTTTACTAAAATCTTAAAAAGTATGGAGGAAAGAGAGAAGAGAAAATGTTTTCATTTTACTAAAATCTTAAAAAGTAGGGAGTGAAGAGAGAAGATGAAATGTTTTCATTTTAAAATTTCACTAAAATTTTATGTGAATTATTATATTAAATCAAAGTATATAATTTATAATTTATATTAGGGTAAATTACAGATTTGGTTACTTTCGTTTGAACTATATAAACTTATGATCACTGGATTAAAAAACATAAGTTTTGATCACTTACGTTATCGTTTTATTAAGATTTAGTCACTGAGACGTTAGCTGTCATTAGTTGGATGACGTAACACGTTAATAAAAAGGTTAAATTTTTATTTTAACCCTTGAACTTTAGATAACCATGAGTCTTTTTGTAAAAATCCTAAACAGTTTAGAGATAAAATATCAATTTACCCCTTTTTTTTCCATATGTTGTCCTTCTTCTGCTTCGTCTCTAAGCCGCTGGTAACACATCAACAGGGGTTTTGCTCTATATGATAGATTGTGCTATCATATGAACTCTGGGATTTTGCTCAAAATTGGTAATTTGATGCGATGGGGTTCATCCAATCGTAGGTGGAAAGCGGTTATGCATGAAAATTTTGTTTTGTTTGATCATAGACGAGTAGATAGCCTAGATGATGCCGATGTTTCGATGTATGATTTGTTTTGAAAAAGTTGTCTGCAAATGAAACGAAGGCAGCCTCGTTCGGTGACCAGTGACCAACGGTTTTTGATCAAAAATCATTATTAAGTTGGACTTGTTTTCCAGAGTTGGAAGAACAGGACAGCCAACAAAACAAGTTATCAGAAACTATCTATGTCGTGCAAGAATAACATGCTGGTTTGGGGAAGAAAACGAGACTCTTGGGTGGGAAAATGAATGGAAAACAGTGACCAGTTTGAGTCGAAACAAGAATTACCGAGGAGCTGGGAGCAATTGGGTCCTACAGATGTCCTTGCAAGCTTTTAGAGATGAAGCAGGGGAAACGGAGGAGAAGATAGATTTGGGGAAGAAAACATATGGAAAAAAGGCTAATAGCAATGAATCAAACAGGAGCACGGATTGTTCTACAGTTCTGAGGGTTAAAACCTTGCATATCATTTCTCCCATTTTAGCAGCAAAAAGTCCATTCTTCTACAAGGTAAGAGATTTGCTATTTCAAGAATGCAAACGAGTTTGCAAGAATATTTCTCCCCTTTTCTTTGTTGATAATTACTTTTCTTTTACTTTTTTTTTTTGGATAAATGCTTTTCTTTTACTTGTTTGTTGATAAATTGTAGCTTTTCTCAAATGTGATGAGGGAGTCGGAGCAGCGGCACGTAACCTTAAGAATCAATGCCTCTGGTATGCATACTCTTCGGTTTATGGTTATTGGTTATGTTTCTTATTCAAACAAGTGTGAGCAGGCTAATTTAAATGGCAACTTTTATATTATCATGTACAGAGGAAGCTGCTCTCATGGAGCTTTTAAATGTCCTTGCAAGCTTTTAGAGATGAAGAAGGGGAATCGGCGGAGAAGATAGGGCTGGGGAAGAAAACATATGGAAAAAAGGGTAAATTGATATTTTATCTCTGAATATTTTGGATTTACAAAAAGACTCGTGATCAGTAATTTATGTAAAGTTCAAGGATTAAAATAAAAATTAAACCTTTTTACTAACATGCCACATCATCCAACTCACGGTAGCTAGCGTCTCAGTGACCAAATCTTAATAAAACGATAACGTAAGTGACCAAAACTTATGTTTTTTTGAATCCAATGATCATAAGTTTATAAAACTCGAACGAAAGTGACCAAATATGTAGTTTACTCTTTTTATTATTCATTTAATCAAAGTTTGTGAGTAAATTTAAGTTTTTAACTAAAATTGATCCCTAATTATTTCTAATTTTTGTAATTTAGTCTATTAATTTTAATATGGTCATATTTGTGTTCATTTTAATCCATCAAATTATATTTTTATATAAAATTAACCCATATTTTTTGAAATTTAGTTCAAACCCTATAAATTATATCATAAACTCCAAACCCTATAAATTATATCATAATCTAATCCCTTTAAACTTTTGTTCACCAACGTTTCAAATTAATGCAATTTAATCCAATTTGATATTAATTTCAATTATATATTTTGCAATTGTTTCAATTTGTTCTCTGTGCATTGTTTAAGTTATTTAATTTTTAGTTTGTGATTTAATATTTGTTCAATTTAATCCTTAAAATTATATTTTTATCCTAAATTGGCCTATATTTATTTTTATTTTTTGTAATTTACTCTGAACCCTATAAAATACATCATGAGATTTAAACCCTATAAATTATATCATAATCTCAAAATCTTATAAATTTTGATTCACCAACTTTCCAAGTGAATGCAATTTAGTCCAATTTGATATTAATTTCAACTTTACATTTTACAATTGTTTCAATTTGATCCTTATATGGTTTTTAATTTATTTTAATTTTAATTTTTAATTTCATGTTTATTCAATTTAATTCTAGTTAGCAGTTTGTAATAAATTATATATGTATTCAGATATAATTATTATAATATCTCTATTTATATTTTTTTTCAACTACATAGCTATAGCCTATGATGACCACAATGTAAAACTCTTTTAATTTTATAGAGATTTAGGATCATTAGATGAATAGAAATAGATTGTTGATATTAACTCTTTGGTTTTTCCCAGTAAATAGTTTCTCATTTACTACTGTTAATAAAGGTCATAAATATATATTTAACTAAAAGAGTTTTACATTGTGTAATAAGATCTTATCCATATATATATATATATAATACAATTAGACGTTCGTGAAAGGTGAAAGATAATTCAACTGAACATGACCTGACCTGAAGTCCATCTATATCTAATAAGACCTGACTTGAAGTTCACCCAAAACTAATATTACCCAATATGGGTTTTATCTGTCAATGACTTGACCTGACCTGAACGAGACTTGACCTGAAGACCATCCAAACCTGAATTAACTTGATATTTAATTGATTCGAACCCAAATGTTTTAACCTGAATTAATATTGACCCGACCTAAAATTAACTTGACCCGAACTCAAACTGAATATGATTTGAAATCAACCTAACAATAACCTTACCTAAAACCTAAACCATTACCTAACTTCACATCCCTAGGTTTAGGTCAGAATGTTAATCTAAAATATCTTTAAAATACTTTATAGCTACCTTGAGTAGACGCACCAATGTGATCTCAACTCACCTGTTTAACTCAGGTAATGTTACATTGGAAGAATCATATATCTAACAATAATTTTACATTTTATGAACCAAAAACTATCTTAAAGAAATATTATTAAAGTAATTTTTTGGTGACGGTTAGGTTTTTTAATTTCAAGAAACCATTAGATGTCTTTAACTTCAATTTAAGTAAATGAAAAAAGTCTTTACTGTAAATATACCAAGTAATAATCTTTATTGTTATTATTATTAAAGTTGCGTAATGATGACAAATTAAGAAAAAAATTGAAGAAAAAAACAATGGTAAGCTCCCTTGAGGAAGAAAAGAGAAAAGACCGTCAAGCAAATAGAGAGCCCAGTATTAAGGATGATGATTGTGGGTAAAAGGTGACAACAATTGCTTCAAACCATAAAGGGGTGTGCAAATAAAGAAGCTTAATACATGGAGCTAGACCTGTTCAATGATTGTACTCTACTCAAGTTTCATAACCTGTATGAGCAGGACATGTACCAATACCATAGAAGTTTTACAGGATTTCCGAAGACGATATCTAATTGTACTAAATTCTCAAAACAAGCCCCGATAATATACTAACCAGATAAATTCCAATAGATGATGAAACTTGAATCTATGGGGTGGTTCAACAAAATGTATAATATGGTGAAGAAAAATAAGAGTTACCATCCGCAAGACAACAAATATGAATAATATTGGTGGGGGAGGGAAGGGGGAAGGAGATCTCACCTATCATATTCGAGCAACATATGAATTGGCCTGAGTAACATATCTCACCCATCAATATAGATTATATGAACTAGATTTCTTTGCTATCTGCAAGTATTTCACCTGCGACGTAAGAACAATTATTGACGTTAGCAATTGTAACTTAGTTGGGATTTAGAAACATTGTTGACCCTTATCTACTGTACTACCAAACTATTTGCAAGTTGGCTTTTTCTAATAGCCCTAATGTTGTTAACTCGAATATTCGATCTTACCAAAGCATTCAAGATTGCAAGAATAAAGACCAGAAAGGTGATAAAGCTTTGCAACAATGTTATGATAACTGGTTTATGTAGCCAATTCCTAATTAGAGCCCGTGTCTTCGTTCTAAGCCTCTTCCATCCCAGACTTTATCATAGATCTCATTAAAACTTTGGCTATGATTAGCTATAAAAATCCTAAAGGAAATAGTGGTAAAATAGTATTATTACGTGAAGCCTCGAAGCATTATACATTGGTATTGTGAATGTCATGCTAACTAGTCCGACTTCTTTGTGATATTTCCTTAATAAGTCATAATTATTTCATCAATGAGAAATAATTTTAGAACAGTCACAAATGAAATTATCACATCGAGAGATTTTTGTTTCCAAAATTGAATTATGGATGATGCATACCATGTGATTCCTGAGAAAAAGTCGGCTTTGAGCGAAGTGTATGTTCAAATCCACCTACAATCTGTCAAAATCAAAAAACGATGATTACATAAAAAGGAAAATGCTACCATATAGTTGAACCATTTGATCCTTAAACCTTCTCAAAGGACCTTTAAAACATATTTACCTTTTTTAAATCCCATTCAAGTTTCTTATTTGCTTCTTTGAAATCTGTTCTTTGACCAGTAGCTCCAGGTTCCAACTCAAAACTAGCTCTACAAATACCAAGTACAAAACATATAATCCATAGAAATATATACAATAAAAATATATCCCGCCACAAAAATAATGTAAAAGGAAAAGAGAAAATACCTGGTGGTATATTTAGGAAGTGGCATCTCTACAACAACTGTGTTTGCAATAATGTTTTAGGGGAACTTTGCGCTTATTTTAAGAACCACGTCAGCCTAAAATGTCAATAGCAAAGCAAAAATAACTGAATCAGGAATAAATCCCTCTACTGTAGAACTAAATGAATTATTTACAGAAGAAATAAGTTCATTTATCTTATCATCATCAGGAAAACATAACATGATTATGAAATGACAGGAAAAAACAGGTCAAGACAGACAAGCTCACCTTAAGGTGTCCCGCTTCTTCAATTAAACAATTAATACAAAAAGAAGGCTCCAATTCCTGTGTCATTCGGTAGTCATGACAGGAAATTCACCATCTGGTGGTACTTAAAAGATGATAGTAAAATGAAACACGAGCTCAAACGATGCAAAGATATTTAACAGTCTCTTCAATCTCTCCACAATTTTCCAGCTGCTATATTCTAAATTTCACTCACCAAAGCCAGAGTCCTGTCCACATCGAAACTATCAAGACGCACTGATTCATTAAAATTACAATCGTCGAGTGTGACGGCCGCACCATATGAACTCCAATAATCTACCACAACAAACAGAAAAGAGAATGAAAAACACTGGACTCAAAATGAGGGTGAAAAGTAGATACACAAAGCAGTTTAAACTATATTGCCAAGAACAGTCATTTGAAATACAATAGTTGCCACTTGTTATAGTTAAGAAACATGGCTTATATATATTAATCGTCTTGAATGTTGAAGCAAGCAGTAACCTTAAAAAAATAACCTCACCGAGCAAAAGCAAACAAATAATTAGAAGCACCACTATTGAACAGAATTATCAACAATAAATGCATAATAAATTGGGACATGAGAAGGCAGTACCATAGACCCATCCCCCTCCTCTTCCTATGCTCAAGTCTTCATTAAGAGCTAATCGGATTTCTGGATTTCCTGTAAGATAACTTTTCATTTGAATAGTGCCATCAATCTCGGAAGTTAGTATATATCCCTGTTTAAAACATCATTGAATTGGTTGATAAGTCAATCATGAAATACACTGGAGTATCTAAGAATGGGCTGAAATTTTCAAATAATGCACTCGGTAAAAATAATTCGTCGGATAATGCCGTGGACAAATTATTTCGTCGAATGGGGTAAATGCTACAGTATTGATCGAAGTCGCGTTGCCGTCCTGAAGTCCTATCATATCCCCTCGAAGACACATGGGTGTCCATGCGTTTTTGCCATGGAAGTCGCATGGTAAGCCATGCGTGTTTAAACTCCCAAGGTGCATGGCATCTCCCCCTGCCACATTGCATGGGCCATGCACCAATCACGTAGGTGATAGCTGGTAGTTGGCATTCGAATATAGGTGGTAGTTGGTAGTTGGCATTCAAATACTGGTGGTAGTCGATAGCTGACATTCAAATGATAAAAGTTGAAGCTGCCCATTTCCTAACCCATACCTTGTAATAACAAGTTGAAGATAAAAAAAAGTATTTTAGCTATATATATATAAGAATAAAATCAGGAGTGATCGTCTAAAAACTAAAGATAGGAGAAACAATTGGAGGAGAGTGCAACTGATATAGGGAGTAATTGCAAAGAAGATTAATAGGGGAGCATTTCAGAAATTTTGGTGTGCTTTTTCTTTCGTTGTTCTAATTTGAGTATGTATTATATGGTAAATTAGTTTAAATTAGTGTTATTTTTATCTCAAATTAGTCCAATAGTTTGTTAAATTTTTTTTACAAAAAAATGGTGAATTAAGTTTGAAGAAATTTTATTTGAGGTATTTTACTATTGATTATTATGTTAATATTATTTTTATAATAATTTTATATTGTATAATATCATTTTACGATTTATGATCATAGTGTACCTTTATTTATTTTATTCAAAATTCAAATTTTGAATTTGTAAAGAAAATAAGCAACAACATTTTCACGATTATCCGTTTTAATTGACATATTATGGAAAATGAGGTTGCAGTTATTTTTTAGTCTGAAAGACCTATAAATATGATGTTCAAAAGGGACATCACATTTGTAGAAATGAAGCAGAGGATAAAAAGAAAATTTTGAGCTACAGTTGATGGTTTAAAGTACTTGTTTATGGTATGTCTCAATCCAGTTAGATACACTGTAGTATCAGTTGAAGAAGATATTGATATTAGAACCATGATTAGATTACACGAGTAAACAAATATTGTAGTTATTAAGTTATTTGTTGATGTGCGTAAGATATCTGATGTTCCTGGGTCATTAAGAAATGTGTCTAGAAATTCATCTCAAATGGCTTTCGAAAGAGAGTTGAGGACCTGGCATACAGATCGATACACAATTTTATGGCGCTATTGGAAAGTGTAAATGAAGTTGGTGGGACATCCACAACAACAGTATGAGGAGAAAAACATATATCATTTGGAATTGGTTGTTGAAGCTAAAAATCAATGGGGAGAAATTCATGATGATTCCAGTGAAGATGAAGAAACTAAGGAACTCGTTTTGGCCGAAGATGATAATTTTTGCGGTTGGTGCACCTAACTTGGCCACTGGTGAAGTTTTGACACCGTATGAACCTACCCCTCAAATGTACGAGATATATTATGATGCAATGCGAGCACTAGAATTCCCATACATGCCACATATACCTCCATACGACATGGCTGAATCATTTGAAAATTCTAGTGCATTTTCGGTTGGGATGCAATTTAGAGGAAAATATGAATCTACATTGGCGATTAAAGAGTATTACACAAAGGCCGTGTTGATGTCCATGTTGCAAAGTCCAACCAAAAACCATATATGCGAAGTGTGTTAAATATGGCCTAGAGTGCAAGTGGAAGATCATAATGTCAAAAATTCAGAGGCACAATGCTTGGGTTATTACAAGATACAATATTCCTCACACATGTTTGCGAAACTCTACTGAACAAGACCACTGACTATTGGACTCCGATGTAATATGCGAATACGCGAAGGTGTTGGTTGAAAAGAATCCAAGGATCCCTTATTCAGTGTTAGTTGCATCTATTCGAAGCCAATTTGGATACTGAAACATGCATCACAAGGCTCACATCAAAGGAAGAAGTAATAACTCTTCCAAATGATCCACTCGTCCAAGCCTTCGAAAAGAAGACCAGAACAACAGTAGACTTGCAATGACTTTTTTATTGGGAACCTGATCTTATTTGGTCAACATGTCTTCTATAGATATGACCGTCTGTCTCTTATATTTGCAACGATTTTTTAATTGCATCAATTCGATATTGGGAACTCAAGATATGACCATTTTAGTGAAGACAATGCATGCAGAAAATCCTATATGAGATTAATGTGGGATTTTGTAAATATTACGAATTTTCAATATTTGTATTGATTATTTGTAATATAATTTAATATATGATGATGAATTATATTTTAGGATTATATTTATTATTTTATTAGGAATTAATGTTGAGTTAAAATATTATTTTTAGTTTATTATTATTTTATTAGGAATTAGAGTTAAGACATGTTTAGTTTGTTATTATTTTATTTAGGACCTTTAGAACTCATCCCCTATTCATTCAACTTTGAAAAAAAAATTTCTTTGATTAATAATACAACGAGTGTTCGTTTTTACTAGTGCTCATTGCCTTGTGCTTTCGAAGCTTCTTCTCCTGGAGTTCTTTCAAGTTCTTGTGAGGGAGATTAATCTTCACACTCCAATTTGCCTTTTCATCGTGACTAGGAGGGTTGGTTAGAGCCATATTATCGAGTTTTCCTTTTCATTGCGACTAGGAGGGTTCAATAGGACACTTAGATCCATATTACGTGTTTGTCTTTTCATTACGACTAGGAGGGTTCGATTGGACACCTATCCATCTATTTTCCACAAATCCATCCTCACCATCATCATCTTTACCGTTCACCTTCATAAGGTTGCCACCTTCTACTATTCATTCCCCTTTGTTCTTCATCGAGTCTAAAGCTTTCTAGGTTTGATTCTTCAACAAGAGCAATGTTCATTAATCCGCCACCACTTCCCTATCAATTGGTACACAAAACCGTCAAGGTACCCCAATGGAGCTAGTTCACAAAAGATTCATCGTTTCAGGTTCTTTTTATTTAATATTAGTTTAGATTCAAATCCTTTTTGTTAGTTTGCTATTTTTTAAAAAAAAGGCCAAAAAATAAAAAAAGCCAAAAAAATCACAAAAATTCAAAAAATTGCAAACGAAGGAATTTAGGGCTGATTTTCTCAAGATCTCATATTCATCTTAACGGCGTGTTTGGTTGACATATGGGATTACCGGGGGAATGTAATCCTTATTCCCCTATTAGGTTGGCAAATAATCCTATTCCCCGATAATCTTTTATTCCCAACAGTGGATTTTTTGGGATGTATTACCGGGAATGTGATTACCTCCTTTCCCTTAGGTATTGTTGGATTACCGACGTTTTGGATTAAAATGCCCTTATTGTTTTTCAAAAATATCCTTATTTTGTCGTTGAATAATAAAAATTCTACGAAGGTTAAATTACAAATTTATCCTTAAACTATTTTAGATTTACAAAAAAAAGTCTATAATTAAAATTTTATATGAAGTTCAGGGGTTAAAATAAAAATTTACCCTTTCATTAAACCTATTTATCTTTTCAATTTTGTAAAAAAAAATTATATATATTTTATGAATTTAAAATTTTTAAAGAAAATATATAAATTAATTATAGTAATATTATAGTAGAATTCAACTTGTTAAAAAACAAATATATAATAAGGACAATTTGGTAAAATATGCATTCCAATAATATTTTATTCCTTTAACCAAACACTGTAATCTTACATTCCTGCTAAACCAACCAAACACAAAATACAACATTCCCAGTAATCATATTCCATGGTAATCTTTTATTCCAACTGGTAATTTTAGATTCCGTGAACCAAACCACCCTAAGAGTAATTTGCAGTCAAAAATTTACCCCAATCGAAGTTCATTAGAGCCTTCAAATACATCGTTCAAGTTTCATCGACAGATTCGGTCTAGAATCTAGTTGAATTTCTTAAAAATTCTACATAAGGAATTTCGTGGTGAAAATTTCTAGATTGAAACTAAATATATTGCAGATCATTTGGAGATCAATAACACCTTTGAACAAAGCGATCACGAAAACAGGCTGTTGGAGGATTCACCGTTCAACAGAGTATAATTTTTCAAAATTTTTGGACACCGATAACCTCCTCAAAAACGTTGCTCAAGTTGACCCAACATTTTCTAGGTTTCTGGTTTGGTTTTTTTTCTTTGACTCTTAGTGCTTTAAGTTATTTTGTTTTCCTTTTAATTGTTCTTTTGAATTATCTAACACATTATCTTTCTTATGTTAGTTGGACTAAAGAGTTTGCATATTTTTTCATTCTTTGCATTCTCGTTCTCTTGGAGTCTAAACCTTGTTTGGACTCTTAGAGATTTTAGGTTTTTTTTTATCTCCTTTGCTAGTAATCAAACTCCGATATGAACTGTGGAAGACTACTTGGTAAAGTGAGTTTTAAAGAGTACATGATCTACTTACTTGCCTCTTGTTGTGTTACTTTCTTGGAGTGACTTGTGAGGTTTTTTGCTTTGTTGATTTTTCTTTCTTTTATTTTTATTTTACTGAAATATTTTTTGAGTGTTATGATTTCAGGATGGACGACAATAACAACAAGACACTTACGGCTATCTTAGCCGCACTTGCACGACTCACGACTCAATTTGTATGATTTGATGAACTTAACAATACCGTGAGAGAACGACAAGAACCACAACTAGATCTACCAAACCAGAATCCAAGACCAAACAATGCTAAACTTTTGGTACATAGATGAGCACAACCACGTTTCCAAGCACCCAAACTCTTTGCAAAACCAAAGTTCACGATCCCATCTTTTAAAGGAGACAATGATCCGGACAAGTACATCGATTGGGAAGGAAAAGTTGATCTTATGTTCACATACCATGAGTGCCCCCAAGCTGAACAAGTTCCCCTCATCACCATGAAATTCGAAGGATATGCTCACACTTGGTGGATGCAAACAAGGAAAAAGATCGAGAACTTCCAAATTCAATCAATTACTTCTTAGACCGACCTCAAAAAAACTATGAGGAACTGATTCCTACCGATACATTATAGGCCACATCAGTAATCATATATGTATTTGAACGAATATCTGAATTTTTTATAATAATTAACTTGATTTTATAATAATTTATATATTTTAACTTTAAAAATATTTTATTTTATCTTATCTTATTAAATATATTTTATTATCAAATTAAATTAAAATATACATTTTATTCTTATTTATTAAAATATATTTTTTATTCTTATATTACATAAAAATATATACTTGATCTCACCTTAACTTTTAAAATTTAATAAAATTGATATAATTACACATTTGGTCAGTTTGACTTATATATTCTATCAATTTAGTACTAATTTTAATAAAATTAAATTTTATATATTTTATCTCATCTTAACATAAAATTGATATAATTACACATTTGGTCACTTTTACTTTTATATTCTATCAATTTAGTCAAAATTTTAAAAATTAAAATTAATTTATATGTTTTATCTTTAACTTTTAAAATTAATATAATTAGACATTTGAATACTTTTACTTATATATTCTATCAATTTAGTCATAATGTTAATAAATAAAAATTAATTTATTATTCAAATCAGATCATGCCACGTGTTAGTAGTACCAAATATCATGACATGTGTCATCACATGATTGAAGGTTTTAATTTAATTTAATTTAATATATTTAATTTCCACAAGCTATTGGGACAAGGTTAATTATTTTCCTTGAAAAATATATTTTTATATTAATTTTAAAATATAATAAGAATAAAATTTAAATATTTAAGTTAAGGTAAAAAATTCTAAATATTATTTACTTATGTTTAGAAAATACTAATATAATTTAAATATTTAATTTTAAAATATAAGACCATTTTATTTACTATTAATTTTTATACAAATAACAATTGACTTTATAATTATTTTCGATGTTGGGGTGTTGTGGAATGATAATGCTGAGGCGGACGTCGAATGTATTGTGGGCTTTGTGGTTGCTCAGGATAGTAGTCATCATCCTCATTCATTAGGGGCATATGATCTGATGTTGCAAATATATGTCCACCACTATGCTCTCCCATCCCTACTGGAAACGTAGACTGACAAATATTCGTATTTGATATCATAGATGTCATTTGCTCAAAGTCATACGTCGATTCAAACATGGGAGAGTAGATGGGTGCTTGAGGATGCATCAACTTGGGTATGTATGCCGGAACAGAATAATCATCAAACGATTGCGTTGTTCCCGCTTCATGTTGTTGAGATGAGCTCCCACTCGGTAAAATTTTATCGGCTTTACCAACTATTTTCTTATATTTCTTAAATTGTTGCCTTTCTCCCAACGTCGTCATGTATGACTTTTTATGATCCCAATAATAATGAAGGTAAGCCGAAGTCTCAAAATTAAAATCATCATCTTGAATGAGATCAAGAGGTGGAAAGTATGAAGCTCTGTAGTTCCAAGCATTAATGTAGTTCGTGTGCTTCGCAACCCAATTCACGCTGTGCTTATCCTGTCCATCTAATCTGTGCAAGGGATAATGATCCCATGGAATGGGCGGAATAGGTTGGTGGAAGTCGAATTGCCTCGACACTCGATCTGAAAATTGTATTTCAATAAAAGCAAAATGAATCAATGGCACCAATATTGACAACCATCCAAAACATCTTCCGGCACACATGCTATAATTTCTTCCTCTATGTACAACCTTCAATTAAACTGTAAAATTAAAATTTATAAAAATTAATTAGACGCGAAATTATATAATTATAAATAAATATTATTTACATTTATATTATAAAACTGGGCCTCCAAAAATTAATTAATTAGGTAAAATTATAAAATCATAATAAATAAATAAATAATAAATGAATTTAAATAAATTAAATTAAATTAAATAGAATTATTATTATATTATATTAGAAAATATACATTCTTTTTGCTATAAATGTCGATCTTCAACCGAAACTCTTTAATATTATTATGCATTAGTCTCCCCTTTCTATTTTATGCCTCCATCTGTATAACAAAAAAAATATTTGTTACTTATTTTTAATCACAATAAATAAATTATAATTAGGAATTTAAATTAAAATAGAGAAAAGAAATATTATCTTCCGACAAAAGGAAAGTCAATCGATGTTCGACTAATTGGTGTTAAAAATGGAAGTTTGTGCTAAGCCCAATATTGTAGCAAAATCATACATCCACTGATTTCTACTGTATTAATATTATTGACGATTACTGACGCCTTGCACATCTCACGATACAAGAACGCCAATATCGAAGATCCCCAACTATACTAACGTGTATTCTGAAAATTTCTAAAAAACGGGAGATACTACTTGTGAACCAGATTACCGAATTTATCCAGCATCAAAACTCCCCCAATCAAATGCAAGATATTTTCTCGAGTTGCATATACAATTTCTTCTTGGGTACTATTTTGTTGGAGTTTAAATTGATTCTCCAACCACGATAGCCTTAAACATCGCCCTTTCAATTCTGGGCTTACTGTCATCTGTCCAAGAAACTCATTGCAAATTATTTCCATATTATTTTAACCATTTCTCATCACCATCGACATCTCATTTGTTGGAACCCCGAGTTAGAAGGCCACATCTTCTAAAGTTATCTTGCATTCTCCGCATGGGAAATGAAATGTATGTGTTTTGGCCTCCAACGTTCAATCAATGCATTGTTCAAACATGGGACCAACTTAACAAATGTCACATAATAAAATCCAGCCTCTTATAGGTTATCTTCAATCAAAGGGTGTGACTTAACGGAAATATTGAGCCGATGACAGAAGACTCATTGCTCATCTTCCTGTAATGATAATATTCATGAAATTAATCAATTGATCATAAAATAAACTTCTATCATTTAATAATAATAATTTATTCTCAAATAATAATATTTTAATAATAATAACATCATCGCTCCCAAATGGCTAGAAATATGTTGAGCGTCAAGATGAAGTAGTTGATTTTGTTTTGCCATTTGAACAAATATGTAGAAAAAATAATTTTAATAACATTAACAATTTAATATAAATATTATTATAAAAAACAATTTAATCTAAACTAAGTAACAGATTAAAACACCAACAAAAAAATTACTTTATTGTTCCCTTATCTTATTCCTTTCTCTCTTGTTCTTCCTTTCTTCCTTATTTTCTTTCTTTTTCTTCATTTCTTTCTTTTTCTTCATTTCTTTCTTCCTTCTTCTATTTTTCTTATTTCATCTCCGTGCCCCCTCCCTCCCGTACACTCTCCTGTATAATAACAACCCAAACAACCCGGACCCTATCATTGCAGCCATTATTGACCCAAATTGCAGCCTTTATTGCTGCCCCCATGCAGGCGACAAACTACCATGCAGGGGCAGCGTCACGGGTGCCGTTCACGGGGGAGGGGAGCACATGCATGCAGGGTGAGAGACGCATGGCTTATAGTGCGTCTTTGAAGGGTTTTTTCTGGCCAAACGTGCATGGCAATGCGACTTCCATGGTATAAAGGCATGGACACCCATGCATCTTCGAGGGGTGCAACGCCGGGACAACTGTGCTACTCCGATCAACACTGTAGTGTATTCACCCCATTCGATGAAATAATTTCTCCACAGCATTATCCGATCTGTGTGCTTTATTTGAAAACTTCAGCCCTAAGAATGTGTGTGAAATGCAAACTTCTTGTTTAAAAAGAATAATTACCTGCAATAAACAACTAAAGAGGAGCACGTAAATATGATTTGAAATAATGGGGGTAATGAAAGAACATATGTTAACTACTTTTAAATTTATTTTGTTCAAAAGGAAAGAGAGTGGTAGAAGCATTTTAGGGAGAAAAAAATAAGCTTATATTTAAACTAATCCACAAAACTTAACGGTAGCTGGTTGGTTTGACACTAACTCGACCATAGACTCTATTCATCAGTATTAGATTATAAAATGTCCAAAATAAGTAAAAATATAAACACTTCAAATTATTGAATCCAATAAAAATGATGCAGTTACACTAGAGCTAAATGTAACACTGATTTTCTCGATCATATCCACAAAATTTCCTCTCTTTCGACCTCCAGGCTCATTTGCTACAAAAGATTTTGTAATTGCTGTCCCGGGCATCCTCTTATTTCCTTGCTGCAAGCATCCAAATTCAATCAATTAACTTCCCAAGTTCATGTTGATAAAATTACAGACTACCATTTATGAGGGTTCATAATCAAGCAACCTTATCATACCATAAAGACGGCCGCAGGGCCAAGGGGTTGCAAACGTGCAGCATCAACCACAATTGGCTCATTAAAGATGTAGGACTTCAAAACCTCAGTAGATGTTATTTGCACATAACCGAAGTCCTAGATGGAGGAAAACACATATAAACAGTAGTAGAATCTGTTCAAATCTTTTCAGAAGAGCAATGCAAAATTAATAGTAAACATTTCACCGAAGAAACAAGGCCTAGCATATTTCATCGGAGAAAAATGTTACTGTTAAGTTCTCTAATGTACAGAGAGATTCTAAAATGCTTTCTACTTATATATTCATATTCACTTCTTGAGATAAGCCATGATGCGCTAATCGAAATGAATCTTCACTTAAAACCCCTAAATAATCCTTAATAACACGACCAATCCTTTGCAGAAGTTCCAGGACGAGAGATGGGGATGCATTAACCCTTGTGGCAGCAACAAAGAACAGCCCAACAACCTTCACGTGGAAGTAGTTCACACCATCCACATTCTATCAATTGAAAAGAATCATATAAAGCTATTAGGGCACTACAGCAGCTCAGTTACTTAATAATCAAGTAATATACGCATCGGACTACAATGGCCTTTGATACCAGAAATAGGAGTTGAATGAATCAATCTTAAATCTGAACATATCATTTGTTCAGCCAGTGAAAAGGTATACTGCCTGACATTACTTTCTTAAGATAACACCTACAAAGACAGGAGCACCTCCTCTTATCCATCCTCTTTCCAAAACTTGACTTTACGGAAGAATATCTATGCACTTCCTTTTGGTACTTCACCACGATCTGTGGTAAAAAAAAAATTATCAGTCTTTGAGTCTTGGAAATCAATTCTGTAAATAATTTGCGCTTACGTACATGCTTAAGTACCAATCATGAAAATTCAAATATATGCCAAGAAATTTCTATAGGATTCATTTCATTTTTAAGAAATTCTTACATAGTTTGGCAGGCTAGTTATTCCCATTAGTTTTACATAAATTTAACATGCAAAATCAATTTAAGCCTTAAATCGCTCTGTTGGGAAATAAACGAATAATTTTCCTATAACCAGATTAGTGAGAGTGCGAAATAAAAGCGAAAAAAGAATACTCGAAATTGATAACGGAGTTCGGCCAATTATGCCTACGTCTCCAGACTGCTGCAGATATTTTACTAAAGAGAGAAAATTTACAGGTATTTACAAAACACTCACAACTCACAAGAGAACTCTCTAAACTCTTTAGTATTGGGAGAAAGAAATGATTTGGGATGGTTTTGAAGCTAAATGGGTTAGGGTATTTATAATTGAAGCTTAAGGACTAATATTGTAATACCCTAAAGTATAGGGTACCAATTTGATAATTATCCCGTTACCCAAAATTAAAAAAAACTGCACCAAAATTCGGTGCCTACCATTCCAATGCACTTTTGATGCAACTTGTTGTTATTTTTAACAATCTCCCACTTGAAGACTAATTTTAATTTGTCTTCACACCTCGATCAATGCAACAACATTTCTAGTCTTGTTACTCTAGCATGCCAAATGAAGCTGAACACAACTTGAGTTTGTCCATAGTTACCGTCTTTGTTAACATGTACGCCGGATTTTGAGCTCCACTAACCTTGCGGGGATTATTCATGTACTACTAACAGCTCCCACTGCACGAGCAATATCTGGTCTAGTACAAACCATGGCAGACATCAAACTTTCAATTGCTGAGGCATACGACACCTTCACCATGTGTGCACGTTCTTCATCCGTCTTTGGTTACTGTTCTTTGGAGAGTCTAAAATGAACACCTAAAGGTGTACTTAGTGGTTTAACATCTTGCATGTTAAACTTGGAGAGTACTTTGTTGATGTACTCAGCCTGTGATAACATCAAAGTCCCCGACTTTATGTCTCTCTTAATCCTCATCCCAAGAATCTACTTTGCAGCACCTAAATCTTTCATTGCAAACTGCTTCGACAATTTTTGCTTCAAGTTTATAATCTCTTGCATGTTTGAACCTGCAACGAGCATGTCATCAACGTACAACAATAAAATAATAAAGCTGTTGTCAAACTTCTTGATGTAGCAACAATGATATGCTTGGCATATGGTAAAACCACTGCTACTCATGAAGCTATCGAACTTCTTGTACCACTGTCTAGGAGCTTGTTTTAAACCATACAAGCTCTTCTTTAACCTGCATACCAGGTTTTTCTTGTCTGCTTCTATGAAGCCTTCTGGTTGCCTTATATAGATTTCTTCCTCCAAATCACCATGAAGAAAAGTTATCTTCACATCTAACTACTCTAGATGTAGATTTTCTACATCTACAATTTTCAACACCAGTCTGATTGTAGACAGTTTCACGACTAGAGATAAAATTTCATTGTAATCAATACCTTTTTTTTGCCGAAAACCTTTGACAACCAATCTTTCTTTGTAGCGTTTGCTCCCATCATGCTCTTCTTTGATCCTGTAAATCCACTTGTTATGGAGCGCTTTCTTGCCTAGTGGTAATTCAGTTAATTTCCACGTCTGATTTGACATAAGCGAGTCCATCTCATCTTTCATGGAAGACTCCCACTTGACTGAATCATCCACCTACATTGCTTCATCATAGCACTCTGGTTCACCATTGTTAGTCAACAATAAGTAGTGCAAAGAAGGCGAATAACATTGGGTTGGTTTAGGAATTCTAGAGGAGCGTCTTAGTTCTGGTGTGCCTGGTTCTTCTTGAACTGCTTCAGGACTGATCTGAACATCATTTCCAGAAATCTCCTCAAACTCAACAAATTCCTTTGTTTCAGCTTCGGTGTTGGAGCTACTTGATTCTATGGATTACCTGTCTTTGTACATCACATTCTCATTGAAAATGAAATCTCTACTTCTGATGATCTTTCGATTTTCATAGTCCTAAAACCGATAACCGAACTCATCACCACCATAACCAACAAAGACACATTTGTTGGACTTAGCATCAAGTTTACTTCTTTCAGCAGAATTTATGTGTATATAAGAAATACAATCAAACACTCTTAAGTATGAAAGGTTTATTTCTTTCTTGCTCCAAACTTCTTCTGGTATTCCACCATCCAAGGGAACTGAGGGCCCACGGTTGATCAGGTAAGCTGAAGTGTTGATAGCTTCAGCCCATAGTAATTTGGGCAAGCTGGGATGTATCCTCATGCTTCTGGCACATTCATTCAGAGTTCTGTTCATGCGCTCTGCTACGCCATTCTGTTGCGGTGTCATGGGAATTGTTGTCTCCATCTTGATTTCTGAAGGTATCAAAGACTTCTGATTTCTTCTTCAGAAAATAAACCCACACCTTCCTTGCAGAATCATCGATGAATGTGACATAATATAGTGAGTTTGCAAGAGATGGAACTAGAGATGGTCCCCATACATCAATATGAACCAACTCTAACTTTTTAGCCTTGGGTGTCTTGCCAATCTTTGTAAAACTTACTTTCTTTTGTTTGCCAAAGATACAATCCTCACATAGTCTGACATTTATGTTCTTTAGATCCGATAGCTTCCCTTTTGACAAAAGTGTCTTTATCCCTTTCTCGCTCATATGGCCAAGCCTTTGGTGCCATAGGTTTGATTTTTCATCAGCAGCATCTGCTGCTGCAATGATATTCTCTAAATTTGAGGTTACATAGAGAGTACCAATCTTCTTACCACAAGCAATGACGAGTGCTCCTTTGGTAATCTTCTATTCACAGCCTGAAAAGGTTATATTATATCCTTCTCCATCAAGCTGTACTACAGAAATCAAATTTCTTTTGAGGCCAGGAATATGTCTCACTACTTTCAACCTCCTGGTGGTCTGGTTTGCCAACTTTAATCGGATGTCTCATTTTATGATGATCTTCATGGTTTCATCATCGGCTAGATGAACCTTCCCAAAATCACCACTGGCATAGTTCTCTATGATTTCTTAGCTTGGGGTGGAGTGGAAAGATGCCCCTGAATCCAAGATCTATGATTCAATCGGACTGTTGACGCTTAGAATCATGGCATTACCTGTTTCCTATGTCATGTTGGTAGATTACTGTACGCAGATATCTTTCTTCGGTGCTCGACAATCTCTTTTAAAGTGACCCTTCTTGCCACAATTATAACAGTTAAAATCTTTCTTTCCCGTTCTGGATTTCATTGACATTCACTCAAAATTTGCGTCAGCCCTCTTTACTGCCTGAAGTCTGACACTCCTCGCATTGAACCCTTATCATTGTAGTTCTTTGCGCCATCATGCATTGGAACTTTCTCACGACAAAGTCTGATGCCTCTTCTTGCCTCCTCCCTTCTAACACGAAGGTTGAAGCTCATTTCCCACCTTGTAAATAGGCAGTTTCTCCGTGGTTGCCTTTTCCCTCAACGTCTTGGCTCTCTTCAAATATTGTCCACTAGTCTTTGAAGGATTGTTCCTCACTTGAACATCCCTCGGCAAGCCCCTGCTTCGACCCTTCTCTTAAGATGGTCTCTAAAGCCATGTTCTCTACACGAACATGCTCGGGAAACTCCTTGGACACGAACAACTCTTCTTGCACTCGCCTTCTACTCGCCTTGGCAAAAATGAACCTTATTGAGCCAACTCTCAACGCCTTTTCGATCCTGGGTTCATCCTCTTCTCTGGACAACTCGATCTTGGGCTCATCCATCACCTTGGATGACTCATCTTCACTCGGGTAATTTTGCAATACTTCTAGCATCTTAAGTCTGAACCCCCTCATTTTCTCAACTCTTACCCTCGTCTTAACATCTTTGACACTCGAACTTGTGCCAAGACTGCACACATCTTCCCTAAACTCACCATCTGGTTCATCATTGAGTGGATTTTCTCTTCCACTCAAGGAACAACATTCATCATCCTCTGACTTACCTTCATCACGGAATCTCTTGCCACTACCCTCGACTTTCGTCTTTTCTTTGGAAGTCTTGTTTTTCTTGACTCCAAATTCTTTGATAGACTCAACGGTTGTCAAGGCTTTATACAACTCATTGACTTCCCTTCGCTCCAACACTCTCTTCGCCCATGGCTTTAATCTGAACATGAAGGTGAAGAATCCATCTTCTTCAGTTAAACTTAGGACTTTGAGGATGAGTTTTCTAAATCGACTCACATACTCCTTAAGTGTCCCTTTATGCCTGAGATGCCTCAACTTGGACCACGCCTCTATCCTGGCATACTGTGAGTAGACTTGCTCACTTTGCACCCTCGGCTTGACGACTTTATCTCTTGTTATCGCACCGATTCCCTTCTTGTGCTCGACTGCTTTGACACCTGCAGTCTCATCAAGTTTTCATCCTAGGTTGACTACTTGAGAACTTGTAGTCGCACCACTCTTGCTCCTTGATTCGAATACTTTGGAAAATTTAGCCTCACCAAGTCTTTCCCCTATTTTTATTACTTGGATACTCGCAATCTTGGGCATTCTTCCGGGTTCGGCTGCTTCAACATCAACAACCTGCCTCGTTTCGATCCTTGTTTGGCCGTATTGATCCCATCAATCGGGCTAAGTCTTTTTTTTGGCTTGGTAGCTTTAACACTTGCAACCGCGCCAATTCCCACTACTTCTCCTTCTTCCATCCTCTTCATGATGGCTGTAAGGCGACACTTCTCGAGACATCCTCTAATCAAATGAGGACCATCATAGAAGTAGCACTTCAAATTTTCCTTTCTCCCCTTCTTCTTTACACCAGACTTAGCCTTGCCATTCTTTCCCAATGGCTTTCCTTGGCTACGAACAGTCAATGGCTCACATTGGCCACTCGAAGAGCTTTCTCTACCATCTCCCTACTGCACCTTTTCCCGATCTCCCCCACTATTTCCAATATCTTTAAGCATGGGACTGGACAACACATCGCTATTTGGCTTGTCTTCAGCAAGCTCAGTCAGCTTTCTGGCTATAGCTATGGCCTTCGAAAGTCTCTGGGCATATCTTTTCTCTCTCCTGAGCATCGCCCCTGGTCTAATTCCTTCCAAGAAGGTCTTGAGCGCACCCCATTCACTCACTTCTCCCTTGCATATGAGCAACTCCTTCTTGAGCTCATCCACTTCGTTTCTCAAAGCCATCGCTCCCACTCAAATCTGGCTTCTTTTGGATCGTTTCTTACAATTCCTGCGAACCACCGTGTATTAGAACATCTCCGTCGATAAATTCATATAGCCGACCAAATTTTACTATTAACAAAATTCACTATTCATATGAATAGTAACCTCACAGAAAAACCGAAAAAATTCAACACCAAAAGCTCTAATACCAATTGTTGGAAAATAAACGAATAATTTCCCTATAACCAGATTAGTAAGAATGCAAAATAAAAGCGGAAAAATAATATCTGAAATTGTTAACGGAGTTCGGCCAATTATGCCTACGTCTCCAGACTGCTACATATCTTTTTCTAAAGAGAGAAAAATTACAGGTGTTTACAAAACACTTACAACTCACAAGAGAACTCTCTAAACTCTTTAGTATAGAGACTAATCTTATAAATACCATAAAGTATAGGGGACCAATTTGATAATTATCCCTTTACCCAAAATAAAAAAAATACAGCGAAATTCGGTGCCTACCATTCCAATGCACTTTCGGTGCAACTTGTTATTTTCAACACGCTCTTTATCGGGAAAAGAACGTTGACGACTGATCACATGATTTGAAACTGAAGATAGAGAGAAAGAAAGAAAAAGCAAAATTGAGAGCTAAATAAACATTTATTATATTTCAAGATGCATCCAGGAAGAACTACACAAGGATCAAATATGAAATAATTCAGATATAAGATCTCACTTACCTCTCAGCTTATAGGAAAAAATCAATCTAAAGGATCAAAATACAGTCCTATAAAGAGAAAATTCAAAGAAAAAGTGAGAAAACCAAAAGAGAAGTGAAGTTTATATGGAAAGAGAAAATAAGAGGAAGAGGGCAGTAAGAAAACTGGAAATCGCGAAAAACTATGTTATTGCCTTGCTAAGAGAGAACGAATAACTATGAGATCATGATTTGAGCCTTTCTTTTCTGATTCGTCTCCCCGGTTTTTTTCTCTCTGCAAATTTAGCTCCGATTTTTGTTTTGTTATGCTTTTGTGTAGTTTTGATGATGAAGGTTTTGCCGTGGTCTTAAACATTATTTTTAACGGATCACTTTCTATTTATATTTATAGATTTTTACCAACCAAATTTCAAATAGTTACGTTTTGGTCACTTACGGTATTGATTTATTAAAGGATAAGGTACATAAATGGTTCCCATACTATAGGATACTACTTTGTTAAGTCCCATGACTATAGGAAATTACTTTGTTGAGTCATTCGACTATTAAAATTTACAAAATGGTCACCCGACTATTTATTATGTTCCAAACTCATCATTTACCGTTAAAAATTTAACGTTCATCTGAGCTAGATGTTAACATGCTGAGTGAGATATGATAGTCATTTGAGATTATGAGATCATATTTTATCATATCTCAATCAGCAAGATAATGCCCAACTCAGACTACCATTATTTTTTTAATGGAAAAGGATGATTTTGGAACATAATGAATAGTCGGGTGGCGATTTTGGAACATAATGAATAGTCGGGTGGCCATTTTGGAACTTTTAATAGTCGAGGAACTCAAAATGGCAACTCCATATAATCGGGGGAACATTTTGCAACGTTTAATAGTTGAGGGACTCAACAAAGCAACTCTATATAATTGGGGGACCATTTTGTAACGTTTAATAGTTAGGACTCAACAAAATAATATTCTATAGTCAGGGACCATTTGTGTTCTTTACTCTTTATAAAATAGTAATCACTTACGTTATTGATTATTATATTTTTTATGCAAAACCTTAGTCAAAATAGGTTAATTTTTAATTCAATCTTTAAATTTTAGATAAAATATTTATTTGATCCTAAACTTTAGATAAAATATCGTTATGACCTTTAAACTTAGTTAAAATATAAATTTGACCCTTGAATTCAATTGAAGACTTCCATCGTTGGTCGCCACTCACCAATGTCACCTTTGGTCGTTATCTATTGTCATCACTGAGATGACCATTGGACCCTAAAATTTATAGTTCTCTTATTTTTTACCTCCTAAATGTGAATATGATATATGTTTCATCGAAAAATGTCTGAACTTAATAAATCCAATGTAGAACTATTTCTATTAAAAATAGTGTTGAACCCTTTGATTTCATTTTAAATTAAATCATAATCAAAATTAAATCATAATAAAAATATATAATTAGTATTCCTTTAAAAATAAGGGCAACAAACAATTAATCTATATCATGATTAAATCCATAAATTTTTTGTTTATAATATTATTATGTTATAATTTTTTGTTATGTTTATAATATTAATTATATTTTTTTAATATTTATAAATATTAAAGATATGATAAATTTTAATATTATATATTTTTAATGGGCAAAATATTTTGAATATTACGTTGGAAATTTATTTAGATATATGTAATGCATAGAAAATTATTTTTTTCAAGTAGAATATTTGCTACAATACTTATTGGAAGTCGTATGGAGCACACATTGACTTCTAAAAGTCGTTTAAAGTGCAAAACATCTTCACTAGACTCCATACATGCACAATAACATAGATAGATGGTGGTGCTCTAGAAGTTTATATTACACAGAATAGTTTTGTAAGAATATTGAGAAAGTGATTTGAAATACTCAATGTTTTGGTATATTCTGTATTTTGGTATAGATGTTGGATTTTAGACTACATGAGCTATAATGTATTTCTACCATTTGTGGTCTATGTTTATAGTGAATTATTATTCTTTTCATCTATGGAATTAGGCTAAGTCTAACCACATCAAACCTCTCGCTCTAAAATTATGATATTTGCTAACTTGATTGTTAAATAAGGCAAACACATTATGTCAAATACACCTTTTAGATGTATCTGACAAGAAACATTTTTATCATACGTCATAAAAATGAATGTCATTTTCATAATTTTTTTAAAGATGTTATATTTATAAATATATAGAGAAACGATAGATTTCAATAATAAAACCTTGAAATAGAAATTGCATAACTCAATACGAAGCAGTCTACAATAGGAATGTGTTTTTTTTTGGATATTCAAATTTGTTAGATAAAATGTTAATCTGAGATAAAAAATAAATGTAATAATAATAAATAAATATTATTATATAATTGAACGAAGCAAAAATAATTATAAAGAATTAAAATAGAAGAATGGAATTGGCTACTCATGTGTAGACACGAAATCAGATGAGTAGAGTAAGATAAATCGAAGAAAGATTTTTTATTAGACTTGTATTAACAGTTTCCTTAAGACATATTCGTCCTTTCCTCGGTGCTTTAATTAATGTTGGACGTTATTCTCCCATGATACAACAACAAATGATCATAATAGTAAGCACAATTGTAGTGATCAATAGAACACAATCTTGCATTTCTCTATCATTGGAAAGAAGAAATTTGGAAGAAATTTTCTAGGTGTATTTCTAATTCAACATTATGAATTGTATCTCAAAGTTTTTCTTCTTCAAGGATTTGTGTCTTAACTAGCCTATTTATAGAGAAGGAAATGGATTGAAGGGTTAAGACATTTCAATGAAAGGACTTAACCTTTCAATTAAAGGACTTATCCTTTTGATGAAAGGGCTTAACCTTTTTATGAAAGGATTTAATCTTTTCATGAAGAAAATTATTAAATAGGTATGATTAAATGGGTGCAACTTTAAACCAAAAATTAAGTTCATTCACCAAGTGACATGAATTATTATTAATTAGTTATAAATAACATCAATTCATTCAATTATTTTTCCAATAATCCCACATGAATGAACTTGATGGTTCAAACACTGACTCGATATGGTGATAGATTCTACGTTTGATATTTTTATAGGATAGGTAGGCATCCCTCTTTGAACCTTCCCTTGTGAAAATATGTTTACCTTACTAGTTGTCTAGTAGACGTGATGTCCTTGAACTGTCCAGTCGTTTGTGTAAGCGGTGACATACCTCACACAAATATCTCACTGACAAGAATTTGGTCCATATAGTCGTGGACATCTTCTTGTTCTGGAATAGTTTACAGAACTATGCCCACTAGTGTCTTTGAAGTGGCTCCACTTCACTCTTACATAGGTGACTTACGTTGTTCGGTTCTCCGAAACAAATATTGGTCATTAAAAGCATTGGTTAACCTTTTTCACATTTTAGTCATTGTTTTCATCATAGGAATAAACTTGGGATAATAATCCATACAGTGACCTCACAAGGTCTATGCAAGTAGTTATCCTATTGAACCTAGATCTTGGGATCTCCAATCAACTAGGTTGAGTTTTCCTTCACATAGCACCTTACATATTTATGGGCTTTAGGCACATTCCTTTTGATGTTTTATCAACCTGATCTATATTCAACCCTTTGGTTAGCGGATCCACAATGTTATCTTTTAATTTTACAAAATCAATAGAGATAACTCCAAGTGAGATCAGTTTTCTAATGATATTATCTCGATGACACATGTGTCTCAACTTTCTATTACACATTATACAAGACATCCCTACACTTTTATGTAGTTGTAGGAAGATTTTCTACTTTTACATAACTCATATGGTGTCTTGCCTATTTTCTTGTGGGTTACCTTGTTTTAAAGGTACATTTTGATAAAATAGCTTCTCCCACATGTTTTGTGACAACTCTGAACATGGTCAAATACTATTCATAATTCTTTAGCAGTCTTATAGATACTATAAACTTAATACAATATATCTGACAATCCATTCAAAATGTAGTTCACGTATTAAAAGTCAAAATCTTTCCAAGTTTTCAACAATAGTGAATGTAAAAACAACGTTTATCTCATCCTCTCTAATAATAGGAGGATCGTTATATATTTGGCCATACTCAATTTGATAAAATATAACAACATCTTATATATGTTACCATATCTTAAAATTCTATTCATATAATTTCATAGACTTCTCATTGTGACTGTTGACCACCAGTCATCATTGAATTTGATTCAAAACTTGAGTGTGAATCAACATTCCATATCACAATTTATGTGAATCGGTGGTATTACCCATTATTTCTTTTAAAACACGAAACAAGAATTTGTAAAGTTTCTAACAATAAATTGAAAATTAATTCAATCTATTTATCATCCGGTTCTATTAAACAACAAAGTTTTATTAAAAATTAAAATTCTATAACAAAATCTGTAACAATGTTGTTACTTCCAAACAATTTCTGTTATAAATAGTAAATCAAATAAATTTTATTGAACAACATGATTAAAATCCTGAAACAAAACTATAGGCCCGATTTTTGTTCACAGACATATCATAGTTTAATTTTTGCACCTTATTTATTGCAACAAATTTTAGTCAAAACTAAAATCCAACAGCTTAGTAATTTCTGTTAAACAACGGGAATTTAGTAAAACTAAAACTCGAAATAGAAATTCACAATCAACACTAATTGTTGAATCCGTTAAGCGTCAGGATTTAGTAAAACTAAAATATGAAACAAAATCAACTTATGTTGGACAATGGGATTAAACCCCAAAACATAATTAATTTCTATTGAACGAGAATAATAAATTAATTCTCGAAACAGAATTAACTTTTGTTGAATTGTGAGAATTTAATAAAACACAAAACAATAGTATAATCTCAATGTATAAATATTATAAAAAAATATTGAATGGTTACACATACCTTTTTGATTTTTTCATCTAAATTCACCATTCGTTACAGTAAAATCATACGAACTTTATCATGTTACACCAAGGCTTGTCCTAAATTTTGGAACATTCAAATTTCATACCACATAAATTGATTTGGCTCCACTCAAACTTGAAATTAGGGCTCCATGCAATCTTAGATTTGTATCAAATCTTTCACATATAATTGTTACTGCAACGGTTCAACCCATTGATTCTTTCTCTACTTTAAATTAAATCAACGTGGAGCTTATAGAAAAATCAGCGTGTAACGTTTACTTGCAAATTTCTTTGAATTTTCTTCGAACCACAATTAGTTTGAATTTACTTTGAATCTCCAATCTCCATTGTAAGTCATCAGTAGTCATCATTAGATACATTAAAGTAATGCTACCTTATAAATAGACAATGTTTTATCTTGTCTCGTGTCACTTGAATATGTTTTCAAAATGTCACACCCCAATTTTCGTTCATTTTAATTTGAATTTAATTTAGTTAATTTTGGGAATTAAACTGTTCGATTATGAAGTTTTTAAGGTATTTTTTGGAACTTTTGAAAGTTCAAGGACCTAGTTTTAGATTTACCCTTCTTTTGTCAAGAAAAAAAGGAATTCAATGGTGTTGAACCTATGACCCTTAGCAAGCATGGTGTCTTAGCCATTAGGCTAGGGCACTATTCATGCTTTATTTTAATAAACTATCCTTATAACTTAGTAGATCAGATATACCCCTAATCGTCTTCTCCACTAGAAAAGCTAAAACCAAAAACCATAAAATGTCTAAGTTTCTCGTCACTATCAAGCTTTGATCGATCATCTTTGTCATCTGTGGTGTACACTGCCAGCACCCCAGTGATCGGCATCGACTTGCAAACAAAAATCGGCCAGTCGTTCATTGTGGATCGTCATTGTTAGTCACAGAAAGACCCCCGATCATCCATCAGAGAACCCTTTCGCCGTCTA